TGTGCTAAATGCTGTTGCTTCCAAGATGCAGTGATGGTCTCATTTTGTAAACATAAAGAAATGTAATATCATGATGCTATTTCCTAGTGGCACTTCAGGGTACAGTTCTTCTTCATAGGGGCAGCTGAGAAAATGTGTTTTTTGTTTTGATTTGTGGCCTCCCTGGCACATTTTAACACTGACCTCCAAGTCAGTTGACCACCTTGGAGAAATGGAAGTCATGATTTATCTTCTACTATTCTAAAGCAGGAATCATCACCTCATGGCTGGATTTCTCATTCATTTATTTAATGATTCATTCAACAAATATATTTTGGGTCTCTACTACATACCAGGCCTGTGCTAAATGCTGGTGATGCCACTGTGAATGCCTTACTCTCACAATACAAAATAGGCAACTACACAAGTGAATGCTGGGGAAGAAGAGGGTGATACAGGAGCACACAGAAGGAAGACCCTTCTTATATTAGCAGGTTTTACTTTCTTCACTTGTCTTTCAGATACATCTCCTCTTGTCCACCCCTACTGCCACCACCCTCGTCATTTAACACCTATATTTCCACAATAAGTTCCCTGCCTCCAGTCTCACCACCTCCAAGTCATCCTCCACACTGTGGTCACAGTCGTCATTCTCTAATGCAAATCTGATCATATTTCAAACTTTCTCAACTTTCAAACAAACACCCCTAGCCTTCCCCATAAAACTGAAGTTCTTATGCTTGGATAGTTCCATTCACACTCGATCTCTCCTTATGTCTCTTGCTTGATGTAGTGCCACTGCACAAAACTAAGAACCCACATCTCTCGCTACAGCCACACAGAACTACTTCCAGGCCTTACAGAGATATTTCTGCCTGGAAAGCCCTTCTTTTCTCCTTGTCCTTGTTCAAGATTCAGCTAATGTCAAGCTCTCTGAGAAACCTTCTTGATCTTCTTACCCAACTTCCCAAGAAGATCAAGTTGGATGCCCTCCCTTTGTGCTTCCATGGCATTCTGGGCATATCTCTGAAAAACTCACTCTATAGCACTAGTTGTTAATTAGTGTCACCCAAGTGCTGTTCACTCTCAATGGCTCTAACCACATGAGATGGCTTATTGTCACCCCAATTTACCAGGTACTCTCAAGTATTTCCTCTGCCTGGAATGTCCTTTCTATCCTTTCCTCCCTGGTAAAAGACTATTCAGTTTTCTCAAAGATCACCTGCTCAAAATCCTCCAGGGAAAGGAAAAAATCACTTTCATGCCTGTCCTATTGGCACATGGTTTAACCTACAATTATAGCAGTTAATCAGACTGTATCATAGTTAAATACCTGTTTCCTTGATGATTGGGACCATTTTTTACTTTCTCACCCTTTTTTCCCAGCCTCCAGCATGTAACAAGTACTTATACATGTTTTCTGAATGTTGAGAAAATTCAGGAGTTGGGGATGAAGTGTACAGCATACACATTAAGAGCTCATAGTACAATACAGAACTATCCCGCTTCCTATTTCATGTGTGTTCATCTTGTATTTACAATTAGAACATGAATGCTTTGAGGGACAGAACAATGTTACATATTTTATATGACTCCCAGTGCTAAATACAGGATACGTGGTGAATAAATGCTTGTAAATAGAATCTAGAATAATCAAAATAAACTGATCTTGCAGATGAAGGAAGAGGAAATATATAGTAACAAAGCGAATAAAGAGCTCTAGTGAAAGCAAAAAGTATTCTTGATCTTTTCTTGCCAAAGTTTTCAAAAAAACTGATGAGCATGTTCACCATGGGATAAAAAGGACATATGCTGACAATTATAGTTAAAGCCCCTCTATGCCAATTTCACTTGAAAATATTCCTGGAAAGGTCTTTAATTCCCTAGTTATTTGAAAATAAAACACTCAAATTTCTATCTTACTGAATATCTTTGAAATCATAAAAGTGAAACCACTTTAATAATAAGCATCCCTTTCCCAATTCCTCCCACCCTTCTTTTTTTTTTTTTTTTCTTTTCTTAAAAAAGATTTTCACCTTTGGCTATGCTTACTTATGAGTCAAAATCACTTTCATAAGTGATTTCTCAATTAATCTCACAAATATCATGCTTTCTCCCACTTCAAAGAAGTCACAAAATGTTAAAGATAAAAAGGTCCCCATCTCAAGCAGCAGACAGACTCCCCAACCTGTAGTCTCAAAGTGAAGAGAAGCCTCACCCCCACCGGTGAGGAGCAGCAGTCACACGTACTGGGTCTGAGCTTCCGGAGTTTACTTCTGTCAGCATCAGCTTGGCTTCCAGATTCCCCATACACTTTTCCTAAGAATCCAGGGCTCCCGACGTGCACAAGAGCCAAAAATCTACCTGTCTGCCTGCCCATCCCGCCTTCCAGGTACAACCAACACGTCAAGATGGAGACACTTTCACACGAGGCACTTTCTAGACCTAAACAACTAATTTGTAAGTATGCTAAACGTTATCCCAGGAATAGTAAAGTCTTTTACGCTACAGATGTGACATTCCAGACCCCTCAAAACTAGAGTCCCACCAGATGAATAGGAGCTGCCAAGCATACAAGTGGAAGGGGCATAGAAATTCAGTGGATGATGCAGTGTACCTCCCCTCCAGTCAACCTCTTCCTGCCTTCATTAACCTCTAGTCACACCTCTCCTAAGTGACCATTATTTGTCCCTCTTCTCTCTCCCTTTGTCCCAGTCCTGGACTCCTCACAGGCTGACCCAGTCTCCGCTGTTTCAAAAGGCCATTCGATTTGATGCTTTTCCCGGGTGCAGTGGGTGCACTGCTCTCTGAGATCCCGCCCCAGTAGGGCTGGCATTTTAGGAAATCCTTTTCTCAGGACCTTTCCATTGGTCCGAAGAGATATTCAGAACCGTGCCTGTCCACCAACTAGATAGCACACAGCAGAGAATCTCTCCCAGGAAAGAGGTTGAAAGGAAAAATCGACATCCCCACAAAGAAAAATAACCCAGAATCCTCCACATATTCCACATGTGTGTGTCATAAAACCCTTGGGAAATGGGTTGGGAGAGGATAAAGCCCCGTCTTCCCACTGCCGCCGCCGCCACAGCAGTCCCTGTCCAGCTCCCAGCGCTGCCGCGGTGGTGTGCGTGAAGACAGCACCTTCCCCCGGGAGGAGAGATCCTGGCGCCCTGCGTTTCTAGGAGGTGATTATGGCAAGCCTTTCAGTAACTCATCATTTATCCCCGCACTGACCCGAGCCTCACCCCGGCGCCTTTGGCACTGGAGCTCGATGAGAAAGCCGAAGGCTGCCCCTCCAGTTTTCCAGGTGACAACCCCCTCCCCCCCCCCCACACACACCCCACTATACTCCTAGGACGCAGCGGGGTGGAAGGGAAGGATGACAGGTGCCCATGCCTGAGGGAAAATCAACGGCAACCCTTACAGCTTGGGGTGAGATATTCCAACCCCCGCCCGGGTGGGAGGACTTGACATCAGCTACCTGCAGGGCGCCCCCGCCTGCACACCCACCCAATGCGTGCAGGCTTGCGTTGCAGCCCGGAATGCAGTCAGGAGGGTGGAACGGGACGGAGGGAGCCTCCACGCCCCCTTTGTCTCCACGTTTCCCAGATGACATAGAAGGAAAGTTTACGAGCAGGGAGGTGGTAGCTTTCTGCTGGGTCAATCTGACACCTCGCAGGAGGCGACCCTCCCTGGGTTCGTCCTCTCCTCTGCACTGCCCCGGCGCCACCTTCATCTGCACCTCGACACCCACAAGCAAGGCATGGGACACCTGCGCCGCCGGGTCCAGCCGCCGGGTCCAGACTGCCCCGCGCTGCCCCACTGCCCCGGCACAGCGACTTCCCCAGAGGCCTGGCTGCGGGCGCCGCACTCACCTCCCGCAGCGGAACGTCCTCCAGTGAGCCCTACTGGGCCGTCCGGCTCCCGGGAGCGAGGTGCATTCAGGCGGCGGCCCGAGACACGCTCTCCCGGCGCTGCTGCATTCTGCCTGCGTGGAAGAGCCAGCCGGCGAGCGCGCGGCGCGGGCGTGTACGAGTGTGTATTTGTGTGAGTGTGTGCGCGAGTGTGTGTATGTGTGTGTCCGTGTGTGTGCGCGCGCCCGTGGGGCGGAGGTGCGCGGGATCACAGATCCCGCTGGGCGCCCATCCCGCGCTCTGCCTCCTCCGCTGCCTCCTCCTGGCGCTGCAGCCTGCACAGGGTCCAGGTTTCCGGATCTCCTGTTTGTTTAATGAAAGGAAAGAGCAAAAGGCTGGCGCGGAGGGGGCGGAGGAGGGGAAAGGAGGGGAGGGTGCCGGGCTGCGCATGCTCAAGAGAGACTCAGTTCTGGCTCCAGAGCCCAGGCAGAGCAGAGAGAGTGAGCTCGGGGTAGAGGCGAGCCAGCCAGATTGCGTCCAGCCGTAGTCGCTCCGCGGGGTTCCCAGAAGGCAGCGGGGAAACCCCGCCGCAAAGGTGCGACCCGCTCGGGGACTCCGCGGCGCATGCAGCGCTGGAAGCCAGTGGTGGGATCCCCACCCATCCTTGGAGACCGCTTCTGCCTTGAGTCCTGGGTAACGTGGGGCTGTCCTCTCCCGGTGTGGTTTTAGTGCTGGTGCGGGCGTTCCTGTGGGCCATTCTCTTGCGTCTACTCTGCGGGCAACCGAGATGCGTCTCCGCAGAGGTCCAGGAGGAACCACAGGCTGCAGGTCGCCCCCAACTAAAATGAGTTTCCTGATGTGTGCTTCTTTCTTCCCCTCCCAACTTCCACTCCTTTAAGAGCAAGAAAAAGCAACGTCCAGTCGGGTCCCACAACAGCTTCAATGGGGTGAGGGCGAGGAGTGGGATAGCGATAACTCTTCCAAACAACAAAGGAGGAGTGGAAGGAAGGTGAGTCTCTGAGGACTCCATACTCAGCCTCCTTTGGTGACAGGGTTAAATGGAAGAGATATTTGCCCTATTCAAGAAGGAGAAAAAAAAAAAAAAAAAAAAAAAAAAAAAAAAGAACAATGGGTTCATTGTCCCCTTGCCTAGAATGCCAACGCAATTGTAGGTCTTTGTGAGGTCTCTTGGCTACTTGGTAAAGTGGAAGAACTGTCAACTCAAAAAGAGTCCAGTAAGAGAACCTGAGCCTGCGATGACACAGTAACCTGAGGCCGGGGAGATGGCAGGTGAGTCCTTGCAAGAGGAGTGGAAACTTCTTGGATGAGATTGTTCTACGACCAAAACAGAATGGTTAGGATCCATTCAAGAGCTTTTATTTTCAATATCTTCCCTGTTTAATCGCTCTGTCTCCCCACACACCACGCCCCATTTTCTCTCCTACAGAAGAAAAGACATCCTAAGCAGGAAACTCCCTGTAAAGAGATTTCTACCTCCTTTTTATTCATTTTCTGTCCCTCCAGAAAAGGATCACCTTTGGTCCCCTCTGCTTTGGAGGAATAGAGGGCAGCCTGCCTTGTGCAAATCTTTTCCAAGCTTTCATTAAAGATCACCTCTAAGCATTTCCACTATACAGTGGAAGCGAGCAGATGCCTTCTTGCTGAACTCTGACCCACTTCCCATTCATCTTCCCAATAATAATGCCAAGTGACACTCGAACAGCAGGACAATTAGATCAAATCCTAGAGCACACCCGGAGGGGAAAAAACAGCATGTCTAAATACCACCAACAAAAACAAAGTTCAGGAGAACAGACTTAGAGAAAGGAAAGAAAAAGGGGAGTTCTTAAAAAGATAAAGTGCCCTGGGTGTAGCGGCAGGTTTCTTTTCTCAGTAGATTCTTGAAAGGAGTAGAATTGCAGCATCTCTTTGCTTAAAGGACAAGTGAGAGTGAGTCTCCATCCACCAGGTAGGGGAGATCAGGTTCTCCTGAAGAGCAGCAAAGCCTCTATAGTGAATCATGTAGGGTATTTGGAGCTCCTCCTTCCATGCCTGTTTATATCAGGACTTCCCTTTGGTGCTGGGCTTCTTGGAAGGTATCCAAGATAGATCTGCCTTGTTGTCACATTCCCCTCAGAACAGTAAACAGTGTTTACTAGAATTGCAAGGTGTTAGTATTGGTGGGACCAATTGCTTCCTTGAGGCAAAATAGCCATTCTCTTTGCCCTGGTGCATAAGCACAAGGTGAGTGATAGCTTTGAATTCATGAACTAAGAGGGGCTGGGGTTTACAGTTCACTCAGTAGGAGACACTTCTTCCTACAGTGATAAGTATACAGGGTTGCCTGGCCAAGAAGCCCACTCTATCTGAGCCTGGCCTTGGGTGAGAGGGGCCATCTCTAAGCAGAGGGACCTGTTCACCATCTCAAAGCAGAAAGTAGCACCCAACAAGGTCAAGGGTGAAGGAGAATATTTAAATGCAGAATTGCAAATAAAGTGAAATCTCTTATGGTGTGTCTGCTAGGAGATGGTGAATGAGCAGTTCTGGAAGAGATTTTTACTGTTTGGGGACAGTAGGGAAAACACGGACATTAAGTGAGATGATGTACATAAAGCACTTAACATAGTGCCTGCTGCATAACAAGCTCTCCAAAACTTGTAGCTCTTATTTTGGTTATTAATATTTTCATTATTGTGATAGTTTATTTATTTTTTAAAAAAAGGCCAAGATCTTTTTTCCTTAGCTTAAACAAGCAAAACAGATAAAAGCCAAAAGCCTTCCAGGTTTTCCTTCTGGCTTCCTCCATCGCCCCCTCACTCATCACCCTGATCACTGATGTATTCAAATCCATGTAATGAAAAGCATGCTCTAAAGACGTGTGGCAGTGTGAATGGGGAATAGCTCCAACTCTCACCCTTCCACCCTCAAATCTAGGCGTAAGTGTGAGATAGCTTTGTCTTTCAGTAATATGCCTCAAGCACTTTTTGCCACTCACGGCTCACAGTGATTAAGGACTCCTGCCTGGCAGGGTCTTTTGCTGTAACACCCAACCTACATTGGAACACCAAGCTTTCTATTTTCACTTTTTTTTTTTTTTTTGGCCTGCCTTCTAATTTTAGCTGTCATATGTGTTACTCCTCCTAGGTAAACGAATGCCCAAAGTCAATTAATATGCACACATCTGCAGATGGTTTTGAGACAAATTAATGGTAAGAATTTCAGTGGTTGCCAGTATTTTTAGTGCTCCTTTATCACAGATTTCAGACTTAGTACTCATCTGCTCTACTTAAAGAATAATCCCTAAACTTTGTACTTCCTTCTACCAACCAAGCAACATACCTAATGGCCTTACTTCCTATATCAGCAAAATAACCCAGCATTGTTGCCTGGATGTATATGAAATTACATATTTTTAAAGAAAACTAGCTATTAAATTTTCAATAGAACTAGCTATTCAAAACATAATATCCAAAAAATTCTATAATTAATAAAAACAAGTAATAGATGAAATGACTGAACATTAAATTCTCCAGAGTTATGGAAGCTATTGAGGCGTCTGGATTCTTAGAAAACTGTATTTTCTTATAGTTTTCTATATGTCTACATATAGTTTTATAAGAAAACTATATGAAAACTGTATTAGGTTATATATAGGTGAAGTAATATAACTCTGTCATGATACAGTATGTGCAAAGATTCTGCTCTGAATATTTTCTAAGAAAGAGGAAACACACCATTTCCATTTGAATTGTATCCTACCTATAATTTTGGTTCTTTTCAAAAATCACCCTAATAAGACAAATAAATATAGAATGTTTTCTTCCTGTAGAAATTTCTTATATATAGTAATCTTTTCTGGTTCAATAAAAATGTCAGGTCATTAGTATAAGGGCTAAACTAGTGATTTCTTATTCCAAGAATCAAAGTATTTCTGGAACTATCAAAAACTATTACAAGATTATCCCTATAGCCCTTTGCATATATTCTTACTGTAACTCTTAACATCAAGTTCTTTTTGTATGTCTGACTTGTCTCCCCTAGGTTGGATGTAAGCCATTCAAGAGCAGAGATTATTTCTTTTTTATGCTCCTAGTGCCTTGTGAAAATAAGAAAGATGTATCTGTTCAGTAAATGTTTAAGGGGTAAATGACTGAATACATTGCCAAAAATGAATTTATGTTGGTAACACGTTGACTTTGAAATAGACTACCAAGTACCATGATACTTGGCATTCCTTATAGATGATGAAGTCAGTAGACACTGTTTTGTGTGTGATTATCTATAAATGGGAGTTGAGATGAGAAAAGCAAATCAGGCTTCTGTAGATAGTTTTTATCCCCATGGAAACATATATATTAAGCCCATTCTAATTTTTCTGGTTTAGAAAGCGAATTAGTTTTGGCTCAGAGTGTACTATTATTCAAAGGATAGATTCATGCTGGCCAAACTAATCCACCAGAATAATGTTCTAATGTATTAAACTTTGCCCCAAGTAGGACGAAATATTTGGGCCAATCATGGTTAGAACTCTTTTTTGTCATCAAGAAAATCCAAAAAGCAAAAAGGACCACCCCCAGAACTTTACCCCCAGGATTTCTATTATAGCTGTCTTGAATGAAAGGGTCTAGTAAGAAGCTGGTTCTGTTTTCATGGATGGGAATTTGGGTGATGAGGAGTTTGTGGGGCAGAGGAAGGCTTAACTATGAACAGTCTCATCTCTGATCAAAACTACTCTAAGACAGGGAAAGGAGGATGAGAGGACCAGGGGATTGACATCCTGTTTATCTTTTATCTTTCATTCATTCATGCACCTAATAAAAGAGTTTATTAAGAATGATCATCAGAGAGAGAAAGAGAGAGAGATCCCAAAATAGAAGCTGCAGTCTTTTATAGCCTAATCTCAGAAGTAACAGGCCATCACTTCTGCCACATTTTTTCAATCATACAGACCAACCCTGGTACTCTCCTCAGATTATCTTAATTTTATCTTAATTTTAGGGTGATTTATGTTTCTTGCTGGGACCCTGACTGATACAGATCTCAAGAATCTCTTTGTTATTTATGAACTCATCTCACCCACCTTGGACCTAATGCTTGTTGCTATTTCATATGCTGTGATTTCCATATACCATGGTTTATAACCTGGGTTAATGCCTCATATGGCCCAGCCCCCAGGATCTATGCACATGTGTTGCTGGAGCTCCCACCTAGTTTTTCATGTCTGTACAAGTAGGACCCAGATACCTATCATTGATTCCACCACTGTTTGATTCCACCTCATGGTGCTATCCCAGTTATCCCTCTCGGAAGCCTCACTGGCAATCATGAGAATTGTGATTCAACCTCTCTTGGACTTTACATTTTGTAGATATTCTACTATTAGCTTTTCCCTTCTGTGGACTCTGCCCTAATCCAGGAAAGGTAGGTTTGCAAAAGCCCATCTATCTCTTTTTCTCAGTCTGTTCCATTCTGCCAACATGGAACCATTCACTCCCAATAGTTGATAAATAGCATGACATATGTCTTTATTTTTATCATCTTTAAAATGAGAGAGCTGAACTAAATTACTCAATCATCCTTCTTTTTTTTTTTTTTTTTTGAGACAGAGCCTTGCTGTGTCACTCAGGCTGGAGTGCAGTGGAAGGATCTCAGCTCACTGCAACCTCCCCTTCCTGGGTTCTTGTGCCTCAGCCTCCAGAGGAAGGCTTGGATTATAGGCATGCACCACCACACCAGGCTAATTTTTGTATTTTTAGTAGAGACAGGGATTCGCCATGTTGGCCAGGCTGGCCTTGAACTCCTGGCCTCAAGCTATCCACTTGCCTCAGCCTCCCAAAGAACTGGGATTGCAGGGGTGAGCCACCACACCCAGCCCTCAATCATCACTTTTTAATAGTCTAGTCCAGGGGTCAATAAACTTATTCTGCAAAGGACCAGATTGTATACATTTTAGGCTTTGTGGGCCATATGGTCTCTGTCACAACTACTCTACTCTACAGCCACAGACAATGAATAAAAGAATGAGAATGGCTGTGTTCCAATGTATTAAAAAAAAAAAAAAAAAAAAAAAAAAAAAAAAACCGGTGGTGGACTGGATTTGGCCAACAAGGTATAGATTGCCAACCCTGAGTCTAATTCTTCATTTTCCACACTTCATCTCGGCATCAGCAATGTGTTGAGTAGAAGGAACTTGAATCTTGCTTTCTGTTCTGCCTGTAGGAAAATAATAAGAACCATGAAATTGGTGCAGGAAATCTTAGTCTGTTGTCGGTTTAGGGGCTCTTCATCAGCAAGTGTGGTTTTCACACTATCTTAAGAATGTATTCAGAAAATTATTTTTTTTCCTTTTTGTAAGGCAATTGGCTGTGTTTTCCACATGGAACAGTGGAAGCAAGGGCAGCTATACTATTTTTAACCTAAAACCAACTTTTGTAGCCCTAAAAGTTCAGCAAGAGGAATATTTTAAGGGAATATAAAAACAATAGTGTGACCATGATACTCCTATTAAAATGGGGCAGGTAAATACATTCTAATTATAACTAGTGCTTTAGGAAAACTGCCTCTAAAGATAAACTCAACCTCAATAAAACAAATACATTCTTATACAGGACCTAGTATAGGAGCAACACTTCTGAGTTGAATTCACACAAGTTGAGCTGCTGTCTGAGCATTTTTCCACATTCAGCCCAAGTTATGAAATTCAGCTTATCTAAAAATTTCACTCAAATTTCACTCTGAGTTACAAATTCAATGCAATCTCTATCAAAATTCCAACATCTTTTTTGCAGAAATAGAAAAATCCATTTTAAAATTCATATGAAATCTCAAGGTTATTTTTGGGGACCCAAATAATTTGACAATTAGACAAAGAGACAATTTAGAAAAAAAAAAATTGGAGGTCTCAAACTCCCTGATTTCGAAACTTACTACAAAGCTAAACAAAATAGGGTAGTAGCAGCCTAAAAACAGACATACAGACTATTGGGATAGAGGACCCAGAAATAAACCCTCACAGATATGGTCAAAATTATTTTTGACAAAGTTGCCAAGACCATTCAATGGGGAAAAGACAGTTTTTTCAGCAAATGTTGTGGCCAACAGGCACAATAATGAAGTTGGACACTTATGCCATATACACAGATTAACTCAAGATGGATCAAAAACCTAAACACAGGAGCAAAAACTACAAAACTCTTAGTGGAAAAGCTTCATGACATTGGATTTGGCAATGATTTCTTAGATATGACACCAAAAGTGCAGGCAACAAAAGAAGAAATAGATAAATTAGACTACATCAAAATTTAAAACTTCAAAGGACACTATCAACAGAGTAAAAAGGCAACCCATAGAATGGGAGGAAATACTTGCAAACCATATATATCATATGTCTGATAAGGTATTAATATCCGGACTATATAAAGAACTACAACTCAACAACAGGAAAAAAAACCAACCCAATTTAAAAATAGGCAAAGGAGTTGAATAGACATTTCTCCAGAGAAGATATATGAATGGTCAATTTTTCACCATGAAAAAATGTTCAACATCACTAAGTAAATCAAAACCACAATGAAATACCACTTCATTCCCATTAGGATAGCTTTTATTTGTAAAAAAACAGGAAATAAGTGCTGACGAGGATTTGTAGAAACTGGGACCCTTGGTCCAATGGTGGGAATATAAAATGGTGCAGTCACTATGATCATTTTTCAAAGAATTAAACATAGAATTACTATAAGTTCCAGTAATTCCATTTTTTGGGTATATATCCCTAAAAATGAAAGCAGGGACTTGGACAGACATTTGGAAACCCATATGCATGCAGCATTATTCATAATAGCCAAAATGTAAAAGAAATCCAAGTGTCCATTGACAGATGAATGGATAAATAAAATGCAGCATATACATATACATACAATGGAATATTATTCAACCTTTAAACAGAAGGAGAATCTGATGCATGCTATAAACCTTGAAGACTATGAGAATTAAGACAGTCACAAAAGTACAAATACCGTATGATTCTACCTATGAAAGGTACCTAGAATAACCAAGTTCGTATAAACAGAAAGTAGAATGGTGGTTACCAGAGGCTGCAGGTAGCAGGGAGTAAGGAGTTATTACTTATGGGTAGAGTTTCAGTTTTGGAAGATGAAAAATGTTCTTAAGATGGATGATGGTGATGGTTGCACTTAAAAATGGTTAAAATGGTAAATTTTATGTTGTGTATATTTTACCACAATTTTTAAAATTAGGAAAATAAATGTAATTCACTCCTTCAATTACTCCCTCCCAGCAAGTTTTCCCTCTCAAAAAGAATTATATTAATGATACCCATAATCTAGTAAAAACAGGATATTAGGCTGACATTGAGTTGAATTCCAGCTCTGTCAGGGAATGTTTTAGCTACATGCCCATAGGCAAGATACTCTAAGCCTCTTTTCTCATATATAAAATATGGAAAGTAATTTATCTTACTAAATCATGAGAAATAAGATAACACAAAAGATGTCTGGCAAGAAATTGACATTCAGTAAACAGAAGCTATCAGCAGCAGCATCATTCATGTTTCCCATCCAAAAGTCATCTTAAAAACTTGAGGTCATCTTTGTCCTCTTTTTATAACCAGTTATCATATTTTGTCACCATGACAAGACGATTCTTTTTTCAAAATGTTTCATGATTTTTTTCTTTCTTTTCTCAAGGCTAACATCTCAAGTATCATCCCAAGCTGGAGTGATAAGAATCTACAAATGGATTTTGGTACCTCTCTCTATATATTTTTTAACTTTCCTATAGGAATTAGACTATGATAGTCATTCATTCATCCTTCTTTTATTTAACAAATAGGTATTGTTTGTGCTAATGTAATCAATGAAATTGAGGTCAGGACCTCCAGATAGTACTCTGAACAAATCATGCCTAATATTCTAACTTTGTGGATTTATGTTATTTTCAATTTACAAATGTATTTGGTAAAATAGCAATTTCATGAAAGGTATAAAGGAAGAGCCTCGGGGACTTAGCTAAAAACAATCTTAAGGTGTTGCTTGAATAATATACTATAGTCACATGAATATTTTATGTGAACCACCTAACTTTGATATAGATATATGATTTTAAGTCATTTAACTGAAATGTTTTAAGACCATGGCTCCTAGCCCTTGGATAATTCCACAGCACTTTAATGGTAAATGATACATTAACTTAGCAAAGTGTCTAAACCACTCTTCTAACTAGGAAAACTGTCTCAGGAAAATTATTCAACAATATACCAAACTATACAAATCTCTTCATAAAATATCAATGATAATTAATCATCATTAATTACCAATTATACTATCATTATCAACAGATAACCTTCATCGTAATTAATCACCTTTAGTCCACATAGCTTGGGAAGCCAAAGATTCAATAAAGTTAAGTGTCTGTTGTTTTGGTTTGTAGTTTTCCCCTTTTGGCCAGTAATGGTATCTGTATTTCCTCTAAGAAAGTGCCGTTCTCCAACAACTAATCCATTTGTTTTGAGTAGGATTGAAAGACCTCTCCCCACTGTAAGCATGTGCATAGAATTCCAACCTACTTAACCAGAGTTTCCCATTGCTCTAGTCATTTTCCAAAACGGGAAAATTAGATTAAAATTCAGAACTTTTGTTCCCATGGAAGAAAAGCCTCTTTTATACTAGGATGCTAAGCAGTTAAAATGCTGTAAGGCTGGGAATGACAGAAGAGAAACCTTAACACAATTTTGAATCCCTCATCCTACTATGCCCTAAAATATCACTGGACTTTTCAGTTACTTGAACAGTTAATTCGTTTTTTGCTTAAGGCATTTTGAATTAGATTTTCTTTCTCTGGCCCCATTGAAAATGTCTTTATTGACACATTCATTTAGCCATCTCTTTAAGAATAAAAATGGTAAACAAAAGGGAAAGCAGGCAAAGGATGAGGACAGTGTGTAAAGGATCCTTATGACCACACTGTGCCTGGTTTCTAGTCCAGGACATTTTAGGCAGTTTTTCACTTATGAGCATATATCTTATGTGTCCTCTTCTCCTTTCCTGAATTGCCAGAATCGGTGGCTGGCACTCCTCAAGGCTGACACCCACCATTAGACAGATGGAGCTGAGTGGGGCAAGGCAGAGGCCAGGGAGACCCTGCCAACTCATTTGGCCTCAGGCCCAGCCCTACTCTATAACCACTGCTGCTGTCAATATCCAGCTAAGGCTGGTCTGAGTTCTCTTTACTGTCAGTTTTTCTAGGCTTCTGAAGTTGACAGTGGCATTGCTCCTTCCAGGCCTGGTGGGTACACGTGCCAAATCACAGCTTTGCATGGTTGGTAAGGTATCCCTTGGCACTCAGGCAGGCTGAAGTTGCCTCTCATCCCAGGGACTCCTGCACCACAGGGGTTGTCAGGGAGAATGCCTGAAACAGCTGTCACCCCTCTGCTTGCCAGACTGATGTGATTGGCTTTGTTGGTATTCTGTCCTTCCCCACACCTCCTAAAGTTGTCCAGTTCGTAAGCGTCAACTTTCCAGAGAAAGAGGACTGTTCTTGCTTTGTCCTCCTCACCAGGTTCATCTTTTATTCTGCATCTAGAAGGGATCTAAAATGTGATCATGTCACTCCCTGGCTTAACTTTTCAAGGGTTTTCCCAGCCTGATGCTCAGGGTCCTTCATGATCTTGACCAAGGATATATATCTGCCCCAAACTTCACCATTCACAACCCACCCAAATCTTGTCACCTCCAAGCCATTCCAAATGTGCCAAGTTTTCTTCTATCGGCACCTCTTGCATGCTGCTGTGACTTACCCCATCATGTCTGCTTAAGTCTTTTCTGACCTTCAAGTGTCAGCTCAGATATACCCTCATTCAGAAAATGTTTCTGAATCCCCAAACATAGAGGGGAAATGAAGTACCCCTACTCAGTGTACTCACAACCCTCTGAGTTTACCTGTATCCTAGAACCCCTCATACTGTATTGTAACTATATATTTATACATGGCTGTGGTTTGACTATTTTCATCCCCACCAAAATTCACAGTGAAACTTTTCATAACCATTGTGATAATATTAAGAGGTATGGCCTTTAGTAAGTCATGAAAATGGAGCCCTCATGGATAAGATTAAGGATCTTATAAAAGGGCTTGAGAGTGGGTTCATTCTCCTCTGCCCTCCCACCATTTGAGAATATAACATTCCTCCCCTTTTTGCCCTTCTGCCTTCACCATGTGGGACCCAACAAGAAAATTCTCACCAGATGCCAGCACCTTGATCTTGGATTTCCCAGCCTCCAGAATGGTGAGAAAATAAATTTCTGTACTTTACAAATTATTCAGTTTCAAGTATTTTGTTATAGCAGCACAAACAGACTAAGACAATATGTGACTCCTTTTATAGCCTGTGAACAAATTGAAAATAGGAATTATGTCTCTTACCTGGTATACAATAAGTACTTCACTTATGTTTGTTAAATGAATAAATTAATGGCGTATAAATAGCTGTGCTTCCCTATTAGAATTAGAGCATAAAATAAGACAGTAAATGCCTGACTCCTAGGAGATACTTCATTTCAGGAAAAATGTTACTGCTGTCTTCTGCTAGTCCACAGGAGTGCCTGATTCTAAGTGAATGTGAATTGTACTGGCCAGGACATAGAGGAGCAGGAGGACTGTCACCACTGTTTCTTGCCTCTTGTAGGTCTAATAAAGAAGAACTCCTGGCTGTGGAGTTTCCCATCACCACTTGCACCAAACCAAATCCCTTTATCTCTGTGCCCACTCCCAAAGAGTAGCACATCATGGGTGTATACAGAGCAGCAGGGAGCACAGCCCTGCTTTGGCAATCAGTGGTACCAGTGTCCCTACACTGTCCATGACTGGCAGGGATACCTAGCAGCTACTGTGCCGCTGCATGCCCATGGTAATGAGTGTCAGCAATATTGAGGGCAGTGAGACTTCCATGTTACCTGCAATGCTAGCTCAGTGTATTTATTTTCTCCCAAATATTAGGATCTGTGCTAATAATGGTGTGCTGCAGTGGCAGTTAAAATGTTGAGGCTCCCTTTTCTAGATTAGTAGTGTCCTCTTACCAGCAGCCAGAACTAGAAAATAGAAAATTAAATAAATTAAACCCAAATCAAAAATTAAAGAACAGAATATAGCTGGTAGAAGAGAGGATCTTTTCATCAATACTTGTGCTTCTACCTCATATACCATAGAAAACTGGAAGAAGCTAGACAATTTTTTTTTTCTTCTGTCAATGAGACCATTTCCTCTAAACTAATATGGTCCAAGATAATATTAAAGCTCTAGGTACTGTGTTGAAATACAGCCCCAAACCTTGAGTTCAAACCTTGGTTTTGCTGTTTATTTATTTCTCACAATGATGTTGGATAAGATCCTTCTCAGCCTAGGGACTGTTATCTGTAAAAGGGACATAATGAAGACCCATCTCATTGGATTAATATATGGATTATGTAAAATAATGTATATCAAAGTGCTTTACAAACAAGGGGTGTGATCCAAAGTCACTCTGCAGGGCATAGTCCTTTACATATAGAAGGCGCTTGATGAATATGGGTTGAATTGAAATGCAAGGGAGCTATCACTAAACACAGCATTGAAATGTTGAAGGATACATTGATATTTCCTTACTCTCTCCATTACAGGTCATTCTCCTCAGTTTGGGAGAAAGAATTGACATTTACCAGATGATTTGCAACTGGGTAGGAAAAATAAATAGGAAGTGAGTCTTCATTTCAGTGAAAAAGGTACCCTCAAGGTTCTGAAGCAGGAATCACACTTCCTGGGTATCTTTAGAGATTCTCACAGTTCCACAAAGCTCCTCCATATACACCCTAAGGAAGTTTGGGGGTGAAGAAGCTCCAGGGAGTGGTTAGCTGCATTCTCTTGACTATTAAGTGGAAGAGGGTTTTGCTAGTTGTGGGTAATGGAAGGACTCAACATTGCCAAAGGTACCAAAAAAAAAAAAAAAAAAAGAAGAAGCCACACATGGCTTCACCACCCACTGAGAACAGAAAAGGGCAGTCTTGGCTAATTGACTGTCAACAGATGCCTTGCTAACAGTGCTTCAGATGATGGGAGTCATGATTCAAGCGAAGCAGGAATCAGCAAACTCACAATGCCTGCCCAGTGGGCAATGAGAATCATCGAGGAATGCTAGGTATAGATGCAAATACAGACTTATGAGAGAAAGGTCCTGCAGTAGACCAGAGTGTATGCCCTTTTAAAGGAAGATACTCACAATTGTCATGCAGAAAAAGGACACAGTGTTACCAGTTCTTGGTGTTTGGGTGAAGGAGAAATGACAAGATGGAGGAAGGTGAACAAGAAGGCACAATCCATGTTGCTTCCGGGTTCTTCCTCACCAACTTTCCCGTGCGCGGGAAAATGCAGTCTGTACCCGGGAAGATGCAGATCAACCGAGCATGCGCCAGGTGACGTCAATCCGAAGAGATCGAAACTTACCCGGCCACGCCTATGGAGACGCCCCTATCACGCCCTTATCCCGCCCACTGCCCTCCCCCTTCCAGTACCAATGCATAAAAGTCCCCTGCGGGCAGGAGCCGGGGTGACGTCTTCGGCCCCTCCTACTTGTGGAACCGAGAACCTCATCGGAGAGTCCCGTGGTGACTTCCCTGGCCCCATACCTGAGGACCGGAGAACCTCGCCTGAGAGTGTGTGCATATTTGCAATAAAAGACTGCCGCTTTCTTATGTACTTTGGCCTCATGTTTAATT